AGTGCGTTTTTGAACGAATCTAGTGAGTCAGTGATTCATGATTACCCATTCATAAAGACAATCACTTGCTTCATTCCTGAACGAATCAGTTGAATGAATGATTCAGTGCTAAAATCAGTGACTTGCCGCCACCTGCTGGCAGTTTTAGTTTCAGTATCATTTCAGTTATTTAAATCATTTAATGTTTCTATATTCAAAATTGTATAAGCCATGCATATTTCTTTATTTCAAGCCTTGAGTGACAGATGTTTGGTGACGCTTCATTTCTGAAAATACTGTCGCTCGATTGTACAGACACTGAATCATCAATGCGAAAAATGACTCTCTGTTATTGTCCTCTTGCATTATTGACAAACTATTTTCCTGTTTGACACTTTAAAGCTGCTTCGACACAATCTGTATTATATAAAGGTTAAAAAAAAAAAAGTCAGATTGCTGTGATAAATGTGTTGCGACAGGGTTGTGATGATAAGTGCATTGCAATAATAATATCCATTTTTATTTATTTTTGTGTATTTTACAGCAGATTTTAGAGTGTGTTTTTCCTGGTCTTTGTGTTCAGGGTGATCTGCGGCTCTCGCGTGCGCGTCGAACTCTCCACCGGAATGCCGCGGCGTTCCCGCTTTGACCGTCCACCGACCCGGCGTCCCTTCGACCCCAGCGACCGCTGCTACGAGTGCGGCGAGAAGGGCCACTACGCTTACGACTGCCACCGCTACGGCCGGCGGCGCTGGAGCAGGTACAGCCGACCGACGCGGTCTCTGATCAATAGCACTGCTGTTCATCTGCTGTTTCCTTGAGATGTTGTTCTCTCTCTCTCTCTGACTGCTTGACTTCTGTTGGATTTGCGGGTTAACGGGGGGATGTTTTGTTGTTTTCTGCACTGATGTTTTCTCCAATGTTCTTTGGGATTTCATGTAACCTGGTCAAAACCTTTCAGGTTTCTTCCTTGAGATGATGTTCTCTCTCTCTCTCTGACTGCTTGACTTCTGTTGGATTTGCGGGTTAACTGGGGGATGTTTTGTTGTTCTCTGCACTGATGTTTTCTCCAATGTTCTTTGGGATTTCATGTAACCTGGTCAAAACCTTTCAGGTTTCATCGTTTGATTCAGAGAGTCACGATCCTTTACGATTTCATGAGGCATCTAGCAAATCCCATATGACCGGGGCACGAGCAGCCACACCCCTTCGCTGAGGCTCCTCCCACTGCTACTTAACTATTCGTAGCCCCTCCCCAAACCAGATGAGAGAGCCAATCCGAGTAAATTCGGCTAGCGATTTGTGCCTACGCTTTTGATAAAGAGAGCTTCGAGACCTCGGCAGAAAAAGCGCCTTGCACACTTCTATCAAGTCTCAATCAAGCGATTTGGCTGTCAGTGCGGTCATCGTTAGAAATCCAAGAGAACGACTAGATGCAGAGGTCGGCTGATGATAGATACTTCTAGATCGTCTAAATCTGCTAGACCTCGGTTCCAAAGAGGGTCGACCTGCAAAGTTGCAAGGTTTATTTCAAGTACCAATTAATGTGTCTCTCTGTATATCATTGCCTGAACTCAAAGCAGTCGTAATGTTTAATGCTGTAAACTTTTTAAATACCTGTTGGATGCTTTAGAGAGTTCCAGGGCTGGGCGATATAACACTCCCGTCATGTTTGAGGATTT